TAGGATAAAATTTGTCCATGATGTGGAATAAAGAGAAGTACCACAACCAACAATAAAACAAGAAAGAAAAAGAGTCCATAATAAGTCCATCCTGTAAATCAAATCCCTAAAGCAAGCTAATGCCACCGATGAAAGCCAAAGAGATGGTCGTGACAGAGATCGTCAAGAGATTCGACAATGAAATAGAGCTGATAGAGCCGCTGTTGTTGTTGTTATTGTTGCTGTTTCCGTTCGAGTTGCCGTTGTTGCTATTTCCGTTATTTCCGCTGCTGCCACCGCTGCCGTCGTTGTTGCCCATGGTGCCAACTGGAGCTTCAGCGGCAGCGAGGCAGGTTGGGATGTTCAAGTTCTTGAGGTTGCGTTGCTGGTCAAAGAGACCCCAGAAAGGCTCAGCACCTCCATATTGTTCCTTCCACTTTTGATCGAAGAGTTCTAAAAATATAACTGTGTTAGCGCTATTTCCTTCTACCGAGATTTTCGCAAAAAGATAGTTACCAAACCAGAAATAGCCATTGGCATAGGCACCGCCGGCCGTGATATTGGTGTTGGCTGCGCAGACAAAGGTGTCCAAGAGGACTTGAGCGTCTGGGATCGAAGCCGCGCTGCCGTTCAGGGTCAGGGAACCACCCGCCATGGCGTCAGTTGGCCATCCGATTTCTGCAGAGTACAATGTCTTTCCGGCTGCTGTCGCATAACGGGGCTCCTCGTCAATGAGGTACTGGGCGGTCCTGGGGATAACATGAGATGACCCGTCAAGCATGACAATTGACTAACGGTCTTACCAGTCAGCAGCGCCTTCAATATTGATGCCAGAGAAGAAGGGGTGAGTATTTGCCATGATCTAAAAGAAAAACGGTTAGAAAGCGCCTGTCGTCACATTCAAAGAACCCCGTACATAGTCTGCAGCCGCGGCCAGCTCTGGGGTGATTTGACTGCCAGCATCGGCGCTTCCAACGGGGATAGTTTTGGCATAGTTCTTGGCTTGCAACATGGTACGGACTTCATTGATCTTGGAGATGAGATATGTTTCCGCGGTGGTGACGGAGCCCCCGCCGCTGGATGTCTGAAGGAGGTATTCGTTGCCGACAGTAATACCCAGAATATTGTCTACCCCATACTTGTCCAAAACATCGAAGGCCTGATCACGCTGGCGCTCATATGTCGTCTCGTTTCCGTCAATATAAATGCCGGCAAATACGTGCAGGTTCCTTTTTGAGACCAATTTTAGAAAAAAACCACCCGAATACAATCTTTGAATCGGTGGGAACGGATTACTCACGTCTTTGTTTGTTTGATTGCTTCTTGCACAAGCTCAAATTGTTGGCAGTCCGTTCCGTATAGGCGGAGTCGGGTAGTCACTGTCGAAAGGTGGATTCAATTAGAGACCTGTCCGGAGACCAACTTCTCGAAGCAGCTAAAGTGCACCTACGTTGGCTCATCAGCTGCACATCCTTAATAACTTCTTCAACAGTATCTCCACTATTTGCAAAGGTAAGTGCCAAGCGACATAAGAAAGCCAAGGAGTTTCACCATTGGGGGTAGTAGGACGAGTCCTCAGACCTGGAGAGGGATCAGCATGTTATTCTGCATCGTTTTGAAGCGCTACGAACGTGTAAGCCATGCCCCATAGTGACCGGTGGAGGCGAGAGTCCGCAGTCCAGACGGTAGGGTCATCTGCCGCCCTTGCGAGCGCGGCCAACGAAGCCAGAGCAGTTGAGAGAAACAGCGAGTTGATCATTGGAAACGATAAAAACTGAAGGAAAAACGAGGACAATCCGAAAGGTAGAGAGAGAGAGGGAGGGGATGTGGAAGGGGCCAAAAGAGGGATTTGCAGTAGAGGCCCAGGGCCGTCGGTTTATAAATGAACGCCCAAAGCCCACTAAATTTGGAGACACTGCCAGCCGTCCTCATCGTATCGTGAGGCTAGACTTGACTGTACACCACTACTTTCTAGTTGTATACTGATGACTCTCGAGACGCACAATGGGCAAAGGCAGTTTGTGCTGCCAAAGGCTCTCGCAGAGCCTGTGTCGCCTAGCGCAAGAGTAGGCTTCGTTCCAAAACGGGCCCAAAAGGCGCTAAAAGCAGGTTCAAACGAGCACAGAAGTTCTATAACGCGTGAAAATACGGGAAAAGCGCGCTCATCTGCGCCCCTGTCGTTCGAGTCTTCGCTGACTGCACTCGCTGCCAGTACAACTGGCGAGCATACGACGAGCGCCAACGCATTCCCGACAGACGGTATATCTTTGACTAGATTTTCCGGTCTTGAAGGCTTCGATCGACCAGCTCAACTCGACCATGCTGCTCGAAGCATCGCACAGGATGCTGCTCCTTCCTCACTGCTTGCTGACATTGACCCCTCCACTCCTATCAACTCTGCCATTTTTAGACGCGCTAATAAACATTTTGTTCCTTACGCTGCCCCCCAATCCAATGCTCTGAACACGCCGATTCAACCCACAACAACACCTTTGAATTCGGCTCTCCAGATTCATCCAGGCAGTGTAGCCCGGAATTCCTTGGGCACGCCGAAGGCCATGGCTTCTGATGTAAAGCAGAATCGAGTGCTAAATCTAGCTCCACCGTCTCGCAGTGCCACGCCGGCTCTTAGCCAGCAAGAAATCGAGAGTCATGGTCCAGTCGACTATGCTGTATTTCATTCTCTGATGATTGCGCAAGGCAAAAAGGAGAAACTACTGAAACAAAAGGTATGCTGCCGACTATGGTATCTTGTAAACAACCGTAAACTGTATCGCTGAACTGCTGGTGGCGCGCTGATGGTATATTAGGATGAAACTTTGGAACAATTGCAACAGCATGTCCAGGAGTTAGAGGCAAAGAATTCCGTCTGTGCCAACGAGTTGAACCATATCAAGCAGCAAACTCGAAAATATATACAGGACTGCGATAAACTGTAAGTTTGGCTTCAGAAAATGGCGGTATAAAATTATCGACCAATTTGTATAGTGTTCGCACCACGCAGCAAGAAATGACCACTTACCGGCAATCATCAAAGGAAGCTTATGACCGCTTATTGGAAGAGACCCGAGCAGAGGCTTCCGAATGGGCCTCGATCAGAACCAATATGCGGGAAAGAATAGAGGATCTAGAAGCCCAACTGGACCAGATTCAAGAGCAATACAAGAAGGTGGCTCCAGAGCTGTTGCGAGAAGCCGAGATTTGTGAGTGAGATTTGAATTGTTCCAGTGGTGTGGTCAACTGATATGGGGAGCATTTAGCCAAACATCAGGCGGACTTTTTGCGAGATAAGCTGCTCGTGGCTACTTCTGACCTCGCAGATGCAAAGAACCGTATACAGGAGCTAGAACATGGGTCTTCCCAAGATAAAATTGTTCTGCGCCAGACTATGGCCTTGCTGGAAGAGACCC